TGTGTTGACCAAGTCAGGGTTCGAACTCAACTTCGTGTTTTTGTCAGGTAACTTATTTTGATTGTGTCGAGACTCGGATTTGACCTCGATTTTTGTTAAGTGACGCGTTGTGAGAGTTTGACTCGTCGTTGGGTTAAACTTTGTGTCCGATCTTGCAATGTTGCTTCAAACAAATGTGATGAGGTTCGTACTCGACCTCAAATTTGAGCGAAACGGATTGATTATGGTTCGAACTTGGCTTTAGGTGCACTTAGGGCTCGTATTCGTCTTCAAATTTGAGTGAGGTGATTTCATTAAGGTTTGGACTCGACCTTTAACAAAAGCGTCGCGGTTCATACTTGGCCTTTAATGATTTAATTGAGGTTCGAATTCGACCTTATGTGAGAAATCTGAGGTTCGTACTCGACCTCGCATATGAGTAAACAGTTCAATTAAGGTTCGAGCTCGACCTTAGGTGAGAGTGCCGAGGTCCGTATTCGACCATGGATGACGAGGTTCGAACTCGACCTTCAGATTTTGAGATAGGCGGTTCATTAAGGTTCGGACTCGACCTTTGTAAGAATATCGAGGTTCGTACTCGACCTCGAATTTACGTTTTGGAGGGGCGTACCCGACCTTGGATTTCGAGGTATACGACTTAATTAAGGTTCGAGCTCGACCTCATGTGAGAACACCGCAGTTCAGTTTGGACCTCAGATTTTGCGTGTTTGAGGTTCGTACTCGACCTTATAGTTTTAAGGAGGTTCAGATTCGACCTCGAATTTCGAGGTATACGACTTAATTAAGGTTCAAGCTCGACCTCATGTGAGAACACCGCAGTTCGGTTTGGACCTCAGATTTTGCGTGTTTGAGGTTCGTACTCGACCTTATAGTTTTAAGGAGGTTCGGATTCGACCTCGGACTTGAGTGAAATGATTTGGTTAAGGTTCGGACTCGACCTTTGAAGTAGGTGCTGAGGTTCGTATTCGACTTCAGATTTGAGTGGAATGATTTGGTTAAGGTTCGGACTCGAACTTTAACGGAAGTGCCGAGGTTCGTATTCGACCTCAGATTTCGCATTTGCGCATTTAGAGTTCGTTTTCGTCCTTTAGATAAACAGGAAAAATAAGAATATGAGATGAGTGAAAGGAGTAATTTTATTTACGGTGTCTGTGTGCCTCGTTAAAAACCCTCTCAGCCAAAGGCTGAGGCGGGAAAAGAGTGCGCCACTTTGTTCATACTGAAAGAGAAAGAAGGAATGAAACTTAAAGAGCTATGGTGGGGGATTCCCCTTGCTTTGCTTGCTAGACGAGGAGATCTTCAAGCTCTCGACGTAACATTGCCGAGCTGTTTTCTGATTAGCTTTGACGGAGATGATTTTACCGTCCTTGCCCGGGAACTTCATGGTGAGGTGCGGGGTTGACACGACTGCCCCGAGTTGATTCAAGGTTGGCCTTCCGCTGATGATGTTGTAGGAAGTGTTGGCTTCCACGAGGAGGTATCGGACCATGACCCGCCTTGTATCCGGTGGCATTCTGAAAGTTGTCAGTAAGTCTACGTACCCCCGAGTGTGAACTCGTTCTCCTGCGAAGCCGACTAGGGGCTCCGTGTGAGGTTGAATGAGAGAGTGGGGGACGTCTAACTTGAGGAACGTCGGCCAGTACAAGACGTCGGCCGAGCTTCCCTAGTCAATGAGTGTTTTCTGCACTTTCCAGTTGGCTATTTCCACAACGATGACCATGGGGTCATCTTGGTTAGGGCTGACGCCGGCGTAGTCTTCGTCAGAGAAGGAGATCGGCGGTGAGCTTTGGTGGGGGGCCGAGGTGGTAGAGTGGACGCAGTTGATGCTCCGCAGGTGTCTTCTTCGGGCCGAGCTGCTGGTGCCTCCCCTAGCAAAGCCACCTGCAATTGTGTTGATTAGTACCCGTAAGGGAGCCGACTTTGTCTCTTGGCTTATCTCAGCTTGTACTGCGCCGCTAGCATTTTGCTGGGAGCCCGGGTGTGAGTCAGTGCGAGCTCCTGAACCGCGACCTCTACCGCGTCCCCGAATGCCATAGTTGCCTCTGTTACCCTGTTGTCGCTGGACGTACTGGCCGAGGTGACCCGCTTGAATGAGCTCTTCGATGCGGTCCCGGAGTGTGCGACACTCCTCCGTGGTGTGACCATGGTTCCTGTGGTACCGGCAGTGCTTGGACTTGTCGGCGCTGTTGGGGGTGTGACCCGGTGGTGGAAGGGTGAGCAGGTTGTTGTTGTTGGCTTCCTCCAGGATATGTACCCTAGGTGCGTTCAGGGGAGTGTAGAAGTCGTATCTCCCCCCTCTATTTGCCCTAGTCGATTTCTTGAATTGACTGTCGTTGTTGACTTTGATTTTATCCTTATGCCCTTGTTCCGACTTTGCTGGAGCTTTCCCGCGAACCTGGTCGCGGAAGGCGGAGTGCTCCTCCATCTGGATGTATCCGGTCGCGCGGGCGCGGAGCTCGTCCATGTCGCGGGGAGGGTCTCGATAGAGACTGTCGACAAAGGGGCCAGCTTTGAGGGCCATGAGCATGGAGTGCAGGGCGACCTCGGGGTTTAAGTCCTGGATCCTGACCGAGATGGTGGAGAAGCGCTCCATGAAGGTTCGCAAAGGTTCGTCATCATTCTGCCTGAGGTTGGCCAAAGCAGTGGAGGTTGTGTGGTGAGGTCGGCTGGTGGCGTATTGTGTCGTGAACCGCCGGACTAGGGTGTTGAAGTTGTAGATGGACTCGGCGGGTAACTGGGTGTACTAGTGGAGTGCGGCTCCTTTGAGCGAGGTCGGAAAAACCCTACACAGGATAGCATCACTGTTAGTGTAAAGGTTTACCTGGGTCGTGTACAGGTCAATGTGCTCATCGGGGTTTGTTGTGCCGTTATAGCGGTCGAGATGGAGAGGCTTCCATCCACGGGGGAGTGGGGTCTCCATAATGCCGTCCACAAAAGGATGTCGGTGGAAGGTTTCTTGTCCTTCTGTGGCACGAGTGGGTGCTCTGCTGGCGTCTGGGCCCAACTTGTGCGTCGATGCATGAGATCGGTGCGTGGCAGGTCGTGATGTTGGTGCCCTAGTCGCAGTCCGGGATTGGGAGGCCGAGTGTGCCTCGTCTTCATGGATGCTGCTCTCGTGAGGAGGGCGATCAGAGGGGTGTCGAGGGAGTTGGGCGCGAATGCGCTCGTTTTCTTCGCGTAACGCTGCGAGGTCTGTTGCCGCTAGATCGACTTCGTGCTTGGCGCGCATGTTGCGCAGGTCAGTGTCATGCTGCTGTCGCATCTGTTCGACTTGGTCGATCAGTCTTCTCAAGGCTGTAGCATCGCTGTCCATGGTGATTGAGTGTTCAGCGTCGTCTGTTGCACGTCTGCTTTGGCTTCTGGTGAATACCATACGGGTGGCCGATAAGAGCTGTTTCGATCGGCCCCACGGTGGGCGCCAAATGTTCTTACCGAAAATCTGCTGTAGAGCTGATCCTTCTGGTAAGATCAGTGAGCCTCCTTCACGGGTACGCCGGTGCTCCAAGATGGGGATAGTACCTGCGAAAGAGACTCAGATGCCAAAGTTAAGGTTTGTATGAGTAATAGTCTCGTATATGTAATGCACGTACCTTGGTGTGGTTTAGGGTTGTTTTGGGCCTTGGGCCTGAGGTAAGATATAATATGATTAAATAAGGGACCTCGTCTGGGGCGAGATTCTCGGGAATCAGTTATGATTCACTTAAGTGCTGAGCTGACGTCACGTAGCGCGTACTTGGGACCATGCTGTGCTGAGGTACCGAGCTCGGAGCTCGGCTTCGAAGTATGGACAGTACAATAATTAATAGATAAATGTTCACTAAAAAAATTAAAATTATGAATTTTATAAAATTTGAAAACTCATATTATGAAATTAAAAGTGAGTAGATTAGAGTGCAAAATCACGAATCAGACATTATAGGAAACTAAAAGTATAATTAAACTATAGATAAATTTTTACTAGTCCATAACAAAATTATACAAAATGCAAATGTTAATAGTTATACAAAGGACTACTACTAATACTAAATGTTATTACTTAATAGGTAATAATTCTTTCACCTCTAATTATGTAACGTCAATCATCTTTAATTTTGAGTTCATTTCCCCACAGAGCGTTTCTTCGGTGAAGCCTATAAACAAGTGCTTCATGGTGAGGTAAGAAAAACATTCATAATAGCACTATTTTATTATGTAATATAGTTTTTTTGATAATTATTTAAAATGTTATTAAAAAATGAATTTATAAAAATGTTAAAGGGAGAAGTGAGAGTCATATGTCGAGTGATAAGACAAAATTGCATAGTCATTAAGATCATGCATTAGGGTCAAAACCTTCCCAACTTCATCCAAGTTAGGACGTGAATTGGGGTCTTGCCCTTGCCCCCCTCCCTTGACTCTACTCTGATAAGATGTAATATTTATTATCTTAAATATATAATTATTAAAAAAGTATTTACTTTTTCTTTAAATGTCCCTTCTTGTTTTAATTATTATAATTGAGAAATCACTTTTAACCATGTAGATGGTAAAAAATAAACTTTAAAAAATAAGATGAAAGATAGATTAATTTTCATTAAATGCTTAATTTTATTGAGAGATTAATTAAAAGTCAATATGATTTATATTATTGATGAATTTTATGATTTTACATTATAATATTCAAAAGTTATATGATATATTTAACTATTATAATTGAATATTTATTTAAAATTATCATTTAAAAATCTAAGCCTCATTTTACATAATTTTAGATTCGTCATTTAAATTTAAATCATATATTCTATTATTAAAATTCATCTTAAATATGTGAATCACTTAACTTTACACTTTATTTATTTTTTTATTGTTATTTTTTTATTTTGCTGTGTACCACCTAACATGCTACTTCACATTGGAATTCGTTCCCCATATTGAATTCAGATCAAATCGTAATATTTTATAACATTTCAAACTTCATTTATACATGAAAATAATTGTTTAAGACATTTGACTTCAAACCTACTATAGTTTTCTATTTAGGTAGATAATGACATGCTTCAACTAGGTAAACACAACAGAAGCTAGACTAATATAATTGTCCTATCTATATGCAGAGCATTCAGGAAAAAAAGAAATACAAATAGAAAACTGAATTTGAAAACATTCTACCTTCTTCATTTCTTCTTCTACTCTTCAATCCCTTTGAACCCTTCGTAGTTACTTTCATTGAGAATTTGATAGCCTCAAAAAATGGTGGCCACAAGCACAGATGAGTTGGAGGCAGCAACAGTAGTTTCTGGTTATGACAGAAAAAGTGAAGTCAAGGCATTTGATGAATCAAAGGTTGGTGTCCAAGGACTAGTAGAAAACGGTGTGAAAAAGGTTCCACGCATGTTCTATAGTCGAAGCACTCATCTCAGTGATGGTTTAACCTCAGAATCAAATTCAAAGTTCAGCATCCCCACCATTGACCTCACAGGCATTCATGGTGATCCTATTATGAGAGATGATGTTGTGGGAAAACTTAGATATGCATGTGAGAAGTGGGGTTTCTTTCAAGTAATAAATCATGGAATTCCAACTCATGTTTTGGATGAGATGATCAAAGGGACTGTCATGTTTCATGAACAAGATGCCAAGGTGAGGAAAGAGTACTACACACGTGATATGAGCAGGAAAGTTGTTTATCTTTCCAACTTTAGTCTTTTCCAAGATCCATCTGCTGATTGGAGGGATTCACTTGGATTTTTCTGGGCGCCTGGTCCACCCAAAGATGAAGATTTGCCTCAAGTTTGTAGGTTTGTTATGATAATGTTTTTAACATTGGTCCTTGGACATGTTATCACCTTGAACTTATGACTGATTTTTTATGATAGTCTCTTATAAGTGATGATATCTACACAACAATTTTAATTTGGTTTGGGATATACCAAGTCTTTTACTAGTTTATTCCTTAATCTTCTTTTACTAGTTATTCCTTAATCTTCCTATCCATGACTTGCCCACTTATTGCAGAAAATCTTCATTAGATAACATTTTGTTTAGATAAACTTTTCAATAGAATCACTGGCTTGTGCCTAGCAGTGAGAGTTGGGATAGATGAATGAGAATTTAAGTTATTAATATAGATACTATAAGAGAAGAAATTAAAAAGTAAAATGAATCAAACTTCGTTCATATGTTAAAGTCAACTTATATACCTCAAATATTTTGGAAATACAAAAATAACTTCTACACACATTTGATTATTATTATTTTATATAAGTTTTTGATTGGTCGTGCATAGAAGGACTCTTCTCATATAAGAAATGCTCAACCTGACCCTCTTAACTGATATACTTCTTTGTCCTTGATATGTTAATAACATGCCTGCAGAGATATTGTGAAAGAGTACTCAACAAAAGTAATGTCACTTGCTTCTACTTTGTTTGAGTTAGTGTCAGAGGCTCTTGGCCTTGATCGCTTTCATTTTAAAGAAATGGGTTGTGATGAAGGGCTTCTTCAACTGTGTCACTATTACCCACCATGCCCTGAGCCAGAATTAACTATGGGCACTAGCCCGCACACAGATAGTAGCTTCATGACAATTCTTTTGCAAGACCAAAAAGGGGGTCTTCAAATTCTTCATGAAAATCAATGGATTGATGTACCTCCAATACATGGAGCCCTTGTAGTTAACATTGGTGATCTTCTTCAGGTAAGTTGATCATGCATGAAACAGCATTTTCATTCAGCATTGCATTTTCTTTAGCTATGCATAATGTACATCATCATGTGGTTAACTAAGGTGGACTTTAGAGCAAAGAGAATATGTATGTGTGTGTATTAGTTCGAGATGGTATACTGTTTATCGTATTGATATGATGTATACTGATATAATACAAAATGCTAACATCATAGTTCTGTTTACACTAATGTAAGGACAAGTATTAATGTACATACTCACTAATATGATAGCCTAGTAATTTTAATTAAATAAGAAAACAAATTGGGAAATTCCTGAATTTGTTGTATTGTATCAGATGACTATTGATTCAAATATATGTCTCTAAGATAATCTAAAGTCATTCTAACAGCTTGTGTAAGTTATAACAGAATATGGGTGCAGAATGTTCATTAGAGAGCCAAAATATTATGTTTTAGTTTGATTTGCATTCCTTTCACCGTAGTGCCTCTCTGTTCCAGCAAAAATTGTTCTGCTGTACCTCTTTTCTCTTCATATACTTTGTTCTGTTCATCCTTCATTTTAAACATTGATAGTGTGCTTCCTAGGTCTTAGGTATGCTTAAATATACTCACCTATTATCACAATTTTATTATTTAGGTAAATACACAAGTCTAAAAGAAGTAATTTTTTTTATATATATAAAAAATTTGCTGACTTCTTCGACGACTAATCTCTGTCAGAAAATCTGGCTGATTATTTTTAGTAGGATCTTCTCTCCCGTCCATGTTTTTTTTTCATAAATAAAACTCGAACCAAGATCTTGTTTAAGAAGACCAAGTCTAATATTACTTGGACCCGAAATCTTAGATCATTAATTCACATATTTTTATGTAGAAGTTTGAAAGTTCATGGCACTTGACACAGTTAAGGCAAAGCCAAATATTTTTGGAAAGCAAAAAAAAGTTGTTTAAAGTAATGGTGTTACTGTCATATCTAGGCTGCACAATACAACAAAGTTTGTAGTAATTTTTACTTAAAAATCCTTTGACTGGTGAGGACTCATGAGTCCCCAGAATGAACCCTACTTTTTCTTTTTAGAGAATTAATGTCTAAAAATATAGCAAGTATTGCACATGTCAAATAAGAATTGAGTTGTGATTTCAGTTTCATTTCTTTTTTGCGCAGCTAGTGACTAATGACAAATTCATTAGTGTTCAACACAGAGTTTTAGCAAACCATGCAGGCCCAAGAACATCAATTGCATCCTTTTTCAGATATGGTGATCAGTCACCAGAGGCTCTCTCAAAAGTATTTGGACCAATCAAGGAACTGTTATCTGAAGAAAACCCACCAGTGTACAGAGAAACTTCTTTTAGAGACTACTTGAAGCATCAATACTCAAAGAGCATCGGAGCTTCCTCACTACCATTCTTCAAGTTGTGATTATGAACAATTGCATGTAACACTCCACACCAGATTGGATAAACTAATTTTTTTTTATAAATTAAATTTAACTTATATATCAATTCATTTGTAGAAATTCTCCCATATTAATTTATCCAAAACTTATCTAGTTTATGAAAATTTTATTTTTCTTTCTTATTTTTTTCTCTTATAAGTATTTATGCAGAAATTTAGCCAGATAGATTTTTGATCTTTTAATGAGTTGTGGTTTACTTCATTCTATTAAACTTTTGGTACGTGGCTAATGGCTTCAAGAATCGAAAACTGAGGTATATTGTAAGATTATGCATCATTGCTTTTAAGTGTTCAACATCAACTCAAATGTCAATATCAAACTTGAGATAAGTTTTATATCAATATCATTGGTATAGTCTTAAAGATATTAATTAAATAAAAGAATTTTCTCCTATGGTAACTGGTAAGGGATATTGAGGTATTCTAATTTGGAAGGTTATAAATTATACGTTATATCATATATATGTACTTAAAATTTTCATACTGAGAGAGCTACCAATTTTATTTTTGGTTGTAGCACGGTCTCTTGTTCCTCTCCACTGATTTCTACACCTTCACCAACTGAATCAAATGTTGGGGAACAGGAAAAGAGTTGCTTAAGAATTGAAATTATCTTTAAGATATTGTTTACTTTAAGTTCAGTTCTCATCATTTTACTTTTTAATACCACCTAAAAACACCTCTCTATTAAAAGAGACAATTGCGTGTATATAAATCCATGTTTATTTTGAATAATATGAAACTTTACTTCCCTTCCAGCATAAACATGTCTATAAAATAGCAAATAATAAAATTAAAATATTGCAAAAATTAGTAAAAGGAGATCAAATTATAAACAAGTTGATCAATTCAATTTTAAGTTTCATATTTACAACTAAAATCAAAAACTTTTAAAGTTTGCTTGTTTTTTATTTTATTTTTTTAAGTACAATAAACCACAATGAGGAAACTTGCTTGTTTAAATAAATGATTCATGCTTAAGCATGATATTTCTTTTAAAAATCAATCTTTTGCAAATCATGCTTAAAGTATTTGAACTGATATCCCTAGTGTTAGGTGTGTTTGAAAAGGATGGAGTTTCAGGAGGGAAAAAGCCCAAACAAAATAATAGAGGCATAAAACAATTAATACATGGAGGGGAAAAAAAGCCATAACTTAGATGGATCACAAGTGATTCTGGATTGGTGGGTGACCAAAAACAATCTGGAATTGGCCGAGAAAATTTTCATGCTAGATAACCTTTTTTATTTTTATATTTTTGATGCTCCACCTCTTATTATTGGCTAATCTGTATTTGTCTCCTTGTCAAAATATGATTTTTTTTTTTTGCATGATTTTGATTTCTCAACTATTTTAATCGTATAGTTTTGTTCATGTTTTAATTTAATTGATGTTCATGTAACAGTGCACAAGATTAACAAGATGTAACATAGTTGGTAGACAATCCAGTTCTTTATACATAGTTAAGAGTTTGATTCCTGATTCATGTATATAGAATAATATTTATTGGGAGATGTCAACTTTTATATTATTAAGTTAAATCATTTTTATTAAATATGATATTTTAAGTTACATATAATTAAAATACACATAAGAGCTAAAATCACACAGAAAAAAAAAGAGTTAAAAACCTCGTTAGAAGTGCAAAATTTACACACCAATAATGTAACCAAAATGGGCCGTTCTGATTTCAAAACGGGCCGTTCTAGTCCAGAATTTCGTGAAAAAAAATTAAAATACAAAGCATTTCAAACACTAGATTTGGTAATATTGTTAATGGGGATTAATAACTTCAATTGCTAAACATTTGGTAATATTGTTAAGGATGATGTAGTGTATCACTGAGGACAATGGTAACAAGTTTTATTTTATTGTTAGTCAAACTGGAGTGAACCACTTATTACCAAATTGATGCTATACAGTCAAGGATGAAACGAAACAGTGTTTTTTCTTGAAGTCATTGACGATTTACCCCAACAATAACAACCTGTTCTTGAGGAGGTACAACCTGGATTTTTGTAGTTTATAGTTTCCCTTCAGCGTTACCCAGATGATTTCCTTTCTTAATAATTTCTTTGAACTTTTTTAGTATATGTTATTTTTTTGAATTTTTGTTTTCAGTTTCTGAATCATGTTTCTATCTTTGAATTTATGATATATTATGAATTTTTATTTTTAATTTTTGAATTACATTGCAGCATTTTAGTCAAGATTTTGAACTGGATAAGTTCAAATCAAAGAAATATTTTGGAAGGTTGTATCATATTTGATTTTTTTTAGTTTTATTCATAAATGAATATTAATTTATTGTATTTTTTATTTATTATATATTTATTAATATAGATATAATAAAAAAAATACAATAAAAAGCATGGCGTTCTGGAACTGCCCGTTCTAAAAGCAGAACGGCCCGTTCTGGTTTTGGGCTTTTTTAGGGATTTTGGTGTTCACGTACGCATTCACGTGGCATCCACGTAGATGTCACGTGGTCAACAGTTAACTCCGTTTAAATCATTTGGACGGAAGTCCCAAATTGCAACGATTTTAATTATTGGGGATTAAATTGAAACCAAAAATTCAAGTGAGACTAAATTGAAACAATTAAATATTATAAGAGACGAAAAGAGGTTTTTAACAAAAAAAAAAAAAAAAGGAAGGAGGGAGGTTTACATCGAATTTTAACAATAATAAAATACTAAAAGTATAATTTAATCTTAATTATTTTTTTCTGCCTCCTTTTTATCTTAAATTTGCTAATTCTTAATTTTTAAATATCAAGAGGAAAATAGATAATATTTCTTTCAACAAAACTTTTTTTTTCTTTGTTTTCTTCTTGTTTTTTTTTTAAAAAATAATTTATTTCAATGCAGCACTTTGATTTTTCAACAAAATCAAACAACATCACATAAAAATGGACAACTACCGAGGATAAGTTTGCTCCCCAATTTCCACCTTACGTGTAAAAGCACTGAAGATTGATAAGTGCGTATCAGACTTTGTGGTTCTTGTTTTTCCTTGGCACATACACTAAAACTTTGTTGATCACACATCAAAAGATTCAAAACAATTATACTTTATTTTTTTTTTTATTATTTACAATTATACTTTATTTTTTTTTCACACCTTTGTTTCAAGATTTTGTTTTATATTAAAATGATTTGATCGAGAGATAAAACTTAATTAAAGATTATTTTCGTCAAAGATCAAATTCAGACACTATCTAAATAATTTTACTTTAAATTGTATACATTACCCAATTTATTAGTTAAACAATTATGCTTTTAAAATATAATAAAAAGTAATTAAATTTATTTTGTATGGTTAATTTGCTTTAGTGATTCCCCTTGCAACATATTAAATGCCTTAACTAAAAAGGGTACAGATATCAATTTTAATAATTAAAATTGAACCAAAGCAATTCCTCTTAACAATGATTCAATTTACAAATCAACTCTCAAGGTATCTAATTCCAAATATTCTCTAGATTTTTAAGTAGATAGTGGCATGCTTCAACTGAATAAAAACAAGAAATGCTTCTTATCTAGTTGCTTTATTGGATAGTAGTTGTTTCAATAATGTTGTCCAATATGCAGGGCATCCCAGGAAATATACTAGGATGCCTCTAATTCATTCACCTTCTATGAAAAACTCGAACAAAAACATTCTTCACTCTCTGTCCCATCTACTTCTCTTCAATCCTTTTGTTTTGAACATTTCATACTTACTTTCATTATTGATTTGATGCATAGATAGCCACTAAATATGGTAGCCACAAACATAGATGAGTTGGGGGCAGGAACAGTTTCAAGTTATGACAGGGAAAGTGAACTCAAAGCATTTGATGATTCAAAGGCTGGTGTCCAAGGACTTGTAGAAAATGATGTAACAAAAGTTCCTCGTATGTTCTATTGTGAACACTCTAATCTCACTGATGGCTTAACCAGTGCATCAAATTCAAACATCAGCATCCCCATAATTGACCTTACAGGCATCCATGATGACCCTATTTTGAGAGATAATGTTGTGGAAAAAGTTAGATATGCATGTGAAAAGTGGGGCTTTTTTCAGGTTATAAATCATGGAATTCCAAATCATGTTTTGGATGAGATGATCAAAGGAACTTGTGAGTTTCACCAACAAGATGCAAAGGTGAGGGAAGAGTACTACACTAGGGATGCCACCAGAAAAGTTGCTTATCTTTCCAATTATACACTTTATGAAGATCCATCTGCTGATTGGAGAGATACACTTGCATTTTCCTTGGCACCTCATCCACCCAAAGCTGAAGAATTTCCTGCAGTTTGTAGGTTTGTGATAATAGAAATACTACTTTGACATTATTAGCACTCATATATGTAAGAACTTATGCATGCTTGCATAAGCTTTTTATAAAACTACTTTTAGAAAGGAAAATCAAAATAAACTTTTTCATAAGTTAAAAATAAGTTATACAAGAATTAAAAATAAGATTTAAGAGAAGTTAATAAAAAAAGTTTTTACAAATTAACTTATATATATAAACTAATTATAACTAATAGAAAAGCTCATTTCATTTTTCTTTCCTTTTTACTCTTCTAAAACTGCTTCTACATAAGTTTACCCAAATAGACCTTCAATGAGAATGGATGACTAATTTCTTTGGATAGTATCTAATTGATGATGATATGATATCATTAACTGCAATTTTTGTTAAGGGAACAAAGTAAATCTATTACTATTTTCCTCCCTAATCTTACAGAAAATTTTTATTGGCTTTAGTCTTTTAGTTGAAATGACTTGATTTCCAAATATTATGCTCTTTCAGTTAAAAACCCTTAGACCCTCTAATATGATAATTCTTTGTGCTTGCAGAGATATTGTGATTGAATACTCAAAGAAAATAATGGTTCTTGCTTATGCTTTGTTTGAGTTACTTTCAGAGGCTCTTGGCCTTAATCGCCTTTACCTTAAAGAAACGGGTTGTGATGAAGGGATACTTCTTCTATGTCACTATTACCCAGCATGTCCTGAGCCTGAATTAACTATGGGAAATAGCAAGCACTATTACATTGGAACTTCCGCACTATTACAAGATTACATGTCACATCGTTATGCAAGTGGCAGTGGAACTTCCGCACTATTACACTTCAAGTTGTTATGATCATTGACAATTGCATGCAAAATCTTGACCCTTAGTAGACCTGGTTTATGTAAATACTTCCAATTCACAACGTTCTGGTTCTGCAATCAGAAATAAGTAACTGGAACCATGGCAAATAAAGCTGACCATCAACTTTAACCTTATGCTTTTTAATTATATTGTTGAAGATCTCACATCAACTAGTAATATGAATATTGAGCCTGATTGAACAAAAATTTAGAAGTGTTTTTGAGAATTTTTCTACTAAAAATATTCTTTATTTTTAGTAGAGAAACTCTAAAAAAACGTTTTTAACTTGTATCCAAACCGATTCATAATAATGGAAGAACAATTCTCAGCTTATTTTGTAAATATATTTTGTAAAGTTGAATTAGACTCAAACTCATATTGTAAAAAGGTATTAAAGCTTATTTTAACAAAGTCATGCACATATAAAATTGTCACTTAATTTTAACATCTTGTATGCGGACAGGATTCTAAGTTAAAACTCTTCAAGGCAATAATTTGATTTTTTATCCATTCCTTAATTTTAATTGCTAGCAACTAGCAAGTATTAGTCATGCAAAAGGGTTTGAGTAGTTTGTTATCAATTAATACAATCATTATCAATAATTTATTTGCTTAGGAAGACAAAAAGATGTAGTAGTGGTGGCTTGAGAAGAAGATCTATGTTCAATAATTCAGACATTATGGGACAACTTTAGTTTTAACATGGTGAGGTAGATGATATGGTGGTGTTTTGCAACTAAATTCCTAACAAAAAGATGAATATTCCAAAACAGAAGCAAGCAACTAAACTGAAACATTTCTCCATCTTTCTATTTTATTTTGTCAAGAGAAAGTGATAGAACCAGATACACCTTAATACTTTCGGATAGTGTCAATGGCAATTGCAAATTTTTTTTATCCCATTGTAACTACTCAATTTATTCACCAACTGGGAAAAAAAAAAAAACCACAAATACTTACTTTGATTCTTAAATATAATTTCTAAAACAAATTATTAAATAAGTATTTAAAAATATAAATTGACAATCATCTCAAAAAGAAAATGTGTAATTAAAGTAATAATATTGATCTATATATTCAACACAAAAATAATAGCGAATAATTATTTTTTTAAAAAAAATATTTACTAGTTTAAAATTTATTTAATAATTTCTTAATTTCAAATATAAATAAAAGTATATTCTAAATTCGGGCTCAAAAGTTACATCAGAAAAATTAATTTGAACCCATAAAGAAGATGATGATGAGAGTTAGTTATGAATCTTTAATAACCTATCTAAACCTGCACTGACTCATTCTTGATGTATGTTTTAAATGCAAAGATTGATTGATTGAAAAATGACTTTGTAGTATACAACACGTTTACCTTCTTAAATGTGATACCAAACTTTGGCTTGTTCATCCAGATCTGGTGGTGCCACAATGAGGATGCATTCAAATTAGTTGGGGTCTAATATATCCATTATGATTAGATACAATTTTGACATTGCCAACAAAGAAAACCACCCTTTACTTTTCTTAGGTGTTTTTAAATTTGCCAATGTCATAGGAATCTAATTCATGAATTGATCTGTTAGCCAATGTATTAGTTACAATGCTTTCTCCATATGGAATTTATTCTTCATAGATAACTTTATGATTTTTGTCCTTTTCGTAGACTTGAAACTCCTAGAAGGATGAGATGATGTACTTTGGAGATGGTCGTTATCGGCTTATTTTATGAAATTTGTTTAAGAAAATATTTTATGAATTATTTTTATAAGATTATTACACACAATTCTACAATGATGATTTTATAGTATTTATTTGAAGGGATATTTTATGAGAGTTATTTTTATAAGATTACTACACACAACTCTATAATGATGAGATATTGTCTGCTTTGGACTTAAGCCCTCATAATTTTGTTTTTGGTCATCATTCAAAAGGTCTCTCTGACATTGGAGTATGTGTGAGCTTTATAAGTTGTTATTTTTTTTCTTATTTTATCGATATGATATGAGACTTCTTTGTATCACAACAATTTTCCTTTCAAACAAGAGACTTAACCTTTCTTGCAGTGGAATCTATCTTTATATATCACATTATATGTTATGAGTTATGATGGTTGTTACCGTATCTAACCTTGTGGCTCTGATACCACTGTTGGCAAAGAAATATTTTATGAGAGTTATTTTTTATAAGGTTATTATACAAGCATACTCAATAATGATGAGATATTGTCCGTTTTGAGTTTAAGCCCTAACGATTTTAATTTTGGTCATTACCTAAAAGACCACTCTTTCATTAGAGTATGGTATGTTTTATAGCATTATTTTTTTCTCTTATTTTATCAATGTGAGACTTGTTTGTATCCCAACACACGCCTAATTATTTATTTATTTATTTTTACATTTAAATGATATATAAGTTCTTTATTTATTGATGTAAACAAAGAAAGAAAGTTTATCAAGTATATATATTATATTTACACATATAAGAGGCATTCAACCCTTCGATATAAAATCACCCTATTCAAAACATCTTACATAAAAAACAAACTAACAAATTATAGTGACTGGACCACCAGATAACTTAGAAAAATTTATTGAGAACTTGAAAAAATTAGCAGCCACAGGGTCGATGTATCTCCTTGGAAAAGGGATCGTTGTTTCTGACTTTGACGAGAATCATGACTGAGATCGGATTTTACGAAACCAACGACCCTTTCAATTTCTAGTCATTCGATCTTTCATAACTTTAGTTTAAGATTTGCATACATCAACCAGTATTTTAAGCTATATAATACACATATTAAATATTTATTATATATCAATAGAAAAAAAAAACTTTATATTTTTTATGAATTTAGTTTAAAAATAAAAAATAAAAATAATAAAAGTTCCAGAATTTAAATTAATTAAAATAAGTTTAAATATGTTTTTAGTTTCTCAAATTTAGAATAAATTTATTTTTAATTTTTCAAATTAAAAATTGTTATTTTTAGTCTTGTAATTTCAAAAATTTTATTTTATTTCCCTAGGTCACCAATAACATATATGGAAGTGATATATTGAAACAATTATATAATATTAGTTAGGTTCAATGTGATACTTTTACTAATAAGGACATTAATAGATAGATTTTATGCGATAATATTTGACAGATTCTTTAACAAAATTTGAGTATAAAAACTAAAATATTTTTTTAAAATTACAGGATTAAAAAATTAATTTTAAATAAAAAAAATAAATTTACCTTAAATTTAAGATACTAATAACATACTTAAGTCATTAAGACAATTTAAAGTTTTTTTTTATATTTTTATTCTTTTTATAGTTGAGATAATGTATAGTTAGTAAAAGTTAAAATAATTCTAAACAAAAATAAAGGCTACTTTTTGAAAAAGAATGAGTGATATGGTTTTCTCTTTTTCAAGGAATATTGAGAAGTTGTCAGAGTCTCCAGATAGAGGGGGGAAATAGTCAATTAGTTGAAAAGTTCAAGGATACGGTTATGGGGGGCCTGTTATCCTCTCTAGTATGTGATATGCTTCAAGAGGGTGTTATGTCCTTGAAGTATGAAAATGGTCATCGTCTCCTTCCTAAGTTCATTATTGCTAAATCAACCTTTGTGAAGTTGTGCGAACCATGCAAACAATGTTTGGTGATGAAGTTGTTGGGGAAGAGCATTGGTTACTATGTGGAGTAGGCTGCAAACGCTTTTAAAATTACACGAATTTTGAGGTAATGAATATATCACATGGTAATTTCATGGTGAAATTTGAAATGTTGATAGGGAGTGTGTAATGCAAGAAGGCCCGTGGATGCTCTTTGATCATTACTTGATTGTCAGACAATGATCACTAATGTTTGAGGCGTTTAAGGCGAAGGAGGACAAAACCCTTATTTGGATCCGCTTTTCAGGACTAGGCATGGTGTTTTATGACAAGAGTGTTCTTCTTACCATAGCCTCAACGATAGGAAGGCTTATTGAGGTTGATATCAACACCTTTAATATGACTAGAGGGAGGTGCGCCAGAGTTTGTGTTGAAATTAATTAACCTCCATAAATCGGTGTTAGACAAGTTTAATCTCAATAAAGTAGAATAGGAAGGCTTACATTTACTTTTTGTACCATGTATGTTTGTTATGGCTATGTTGCTCGTGTGTGCATGAATCCTCCTACAAAGATGAAGAAGGGTGCCCAAGGTAGGGAGTCAATAGCAAAGGGTGGAGGTCCGTCAACATTGAGTGGAGATGGTAGCATCGATGAGAAGACATAGGAGAAGAGTGATCACGAGATCCCAGATGTCTTGATGAATTCAATACAATCGCATGGGAATTAGTTGATTGTCAAATGAAAATCCCAAAAATAGAATAAAAGCAAATTATATACAACACAATTCATGCATGGACTGGGAAAGGATAAAGATTTTGACAAGATAGACATAAGAGGTAATATCTTAATTGTTATAGATGGGTCCTTAGTACTATCCAAAAATATGAATAATCATATGGGCTCAATGTTCAAATTATGATGACAAATAGGGTTGGGCCTAATAAAGGGGTGCACAAGGCCGTGAGGAAAGAGGATAATTGGGGTCATGTTGATGTAGGCGATCCATGCATGCATGTGGACATGATTAACGTCGAGTTACTTGAAGCCAAGGCCTACTCAGAGTATTGCTCCTCGAATTGTAGAGTTTAAGTCTTTCCTCCCTATCAAGCATGTTGAAGTTACCCAATATACATATTATGATGAGGATCCCATGGAAGAGGTCCAAAGTTTGGTGCACGATGGCAATCAGGATGATCATAAGGGGTATCTTGATGTTAAGGATATAACTCATGATGAAATGCTCTCTTGAGGAGAGCTTCTAGTTACCACCCTAACAGGTTTCTCGTGTTAGATAACTAAAATATTATTTGTTGGAACATTAGAGGCGTAATGAATGTGAAAAGGAAAAAAATGGGTTGATGAGCTGGTTAAGTTATACAAACCTTTTATTTTCATAATGTTAGAAACCTATTGCTCATTCACATCAGTTGTCTCATTTTGGAGCAATCTAAAATATAAGTTGCATCATAGTGTGAAGGTTAGAGGCCATGCGGGAGGCATATGGGTCTTAGTTGAGAAAGATAGTCAAATATCGACGCTTAAGTTGTTTTCTTTCCCTCAAACAATTACAGTTTTAATCAAGCAAGGTTGCAAGAAGTGGCCATGCATAGTTGTGTATGCAAGTCCTAGCTTTAGTCAAAAGAATGGAGGTTTTGGATCATATCAGGAGTCTTAGAAGCCAACTGGTGGTGCCTTGGCTTGTACT